AATATGGCAGATCTGCAAAAATACATGATAAGGGCATGCATAATATGCTTTAAAACAACAGACAGTGGCACCAAACAATGTTGAGGCAAAATCAAATGGTACATCAGTTACACATAAATTGTATCAGCCAGAAACCTAAAACAACAAAGGTAAATGAAGTCTTGGACAAATAGCATGACAACATAACAACACATCAAGCCTGTTATAACTGGCTTTGCAGCCTCATAAATTCCACAGCTTACAATCTAACCCAACCAAAACAGAAGGTAAATTTAAGATTCTAAAGGATCCTAACCAAAATACTGATCAACAGGCACACCACCTACCCAATGTATCCACAAAGTTGAGGTCCTACGCTGTCAAGAACTCTCATGACAGTCACCAAATCAGTTATCCACTTTAAGCATCTTAATCATGAGTTGACAGGTCTAACACAACTTCTAACAACAAATCCTAAACCAAAATCCCAAAGACATCCCTAATGATCTAACCAGCAACAATCTTGAACCCCCAAGATGGCCTTTACTTAGTCCTCCAACTCTGCTCCAAAGCCCTCATGTAGAAAATAACAGCATAACCTAAACACCTAAACAACCATGATAGCAACTACACCTGGGTTGACAAACTCAGGGCTCAAGCATACACATTGACAATCACAGTCTCCATACTAAACCATACATACTAGTTAACAACAAAAGACATGGTCAGCCCCCAACCAACTTATGATAGTAACAGCTTTAACACAATTTCAAATTCACACACTAATTAAAAACTGTTTTAGATGACAACTCCCAATATTGTTAAAACAAACACAAGTAGCCAGTCAACAACCAAGAGCAGAAGACTTTGAACAAAACAGAATGCAAAATCAAGGCAACTAAGTTTTCAATAGTTTGATGCAAAATAGGAGCATACATATGCTTAAAACAGTTGGCAATGGCATCAAAATAATGGACAGATTCACAAATAGTGACATCAATATAAAAACTGAACAGATCCTAATACTGAATTCTACCTCAAAGCATCAGCCAAAACAAAGGGTTTAAACATGGTTCTGTGTAACAGTACTAAGAATGAACAGACAAAAAAATGGAAACGAAATGAGGGGAAATTATATAAGGACTTTAATCAAACAGTTGCAATACAATGGAAACCCAGATGTGAAAAGAAAAAAGTTTGAGGGAGAAGAATAACAACTCTACTCATCACATAACCCTACAATTTCTCACTACTGCAGTATATGTACTGGATCATTCCTTCACATAGTCCCTCGACATAGTGTGCGGTTTGAGTGGCCTTTCTCCTGTGCGTATGCACGATATTTCCACGTTATTGTTAGCCAAATCCTTTCCACGCATATTTTATGGGCCCTCCTTCTGTTTTGCTGACTCACAGGCTGCTTCTAGAATATCTTTCTCTTTTGACCTCATTACAGTACCATCCCCATTAAAAATAACCTGTCCTCAAGGTTGAAAGAGGGAAACTTCTGTTGCAAGTAAGTTATTTCTTCCCAAGAAGTATCCGCGACATCGTGATGATCCCATTGAATTAAAACTTGGTGAATTGTTTGGCTGCCTTTGATAACAGTTCTAGCTTGCAACACTTCAATAGGAGTTATAATTGGTCCGCTGTCCGACATAGTTAAAGGTAACGGCAAGTATTGCTCTTGGAAGGTTCCCTTGAATGGTTTAAGCTGAGACACATGGAAAATAGGGTCTATTTTAGCGTGATCTGGCAGTTTGAGTTTGTAAGCTACAGAACCCACACGAGCTATGATCTCAAAGGGTCCGAAATAGCGCATTCCTAACTTTTGATTCTTCCTCAAGGCCACAGACTGTTGCCTATATGGTTGGAGCTTCACTAACACCAGCTCTCCCACTTGAAAATCACATCCATTTTATGCTTGTCCGCCTGTTTCTTCATGTACTGCTGGGCCTTTTCTAAATTCGCTTTCAACTGTTGTAAAATTCTGTCTCTCTCCATCAGTTGCTCCTGGAGTGCTGGAGGGTCATTAGCTTGAGGTTCATACCTTAATAAAGCCGGTGGTTCTCTCCCATAAAGAGCCTTGAAGGGCGTCATGCCAATGCTGGTCTATAAGGCTGTGTTGTACCAGAATTCTGCCCATGATAGCACCTTGTACCATGACTTAGGGTTGTGAAAGGTGAAACACCTAAGAAATAGCTCTACTGCCTTGTTAAGCGCCTTAGACTGCCCATCAGATTGGGGATGATACGCCCAAGACATTGCCAAACTCGTACCCTGTAGCTTGAACAAATGTTGCCAAAAGGAACTTGTAAACACTTTATCCCTATCAGATACAATGGATTTGGGCATTCCATGTAATTTGACAATATTGTGCATAAACATTTCGGCCACTGACTTACTAGAGTAGTCAGTTTTCATAGGAAAGAAATGAGCATACTTAGATAATCTATTTATGACCACCAAGATAGTAGTATGCCCAAAGGATAAAGGAAGTCCTGTGACAAAATCCATAGCCACATCTTCCCATACTTGTGATGGTATTGGGAGTGGTTGTAATAACCCTGCCGGTACTGTGTTAACAGTTTTAGCTTGTTGGCACACACCACAACTTTGCACATACTGATAGATATCCTTCTTCATATCAGGCCAGTAGAATTGGGACTTGATTCGAGCCATAGTTCGAGTAAAACCCGTATGACCACCCAGTGGAGATGTATGTAATTCATATAAGACTTGCTGAACCAATTCCATGTGTTGAGGAATCACAATCGGCTGCTTCCAATATAACAGTCCATCTCTGAAAGTGTATTGGAGATAAGAGTTACCTTGGCTACTACACTTTTGTATAATGTCACTCCAGTGATTATCACTTTTCAACACTTCCTTCACTTGTTGAATGAATTGACACTGAGGCTATGACCAAGACAACATCATTAACCTCGATAAAGCATCAGCGGCCAAATTCTCTTTCCCAGGTTTGTATTTGATAGCAAAATCATAACCCAAAAATTTATGTAACCACTGCTGCTGTTCGGGTGTCTGGAGTGACTGGTCCATCAAACTCCGCAAACTCTTTTGATCGGTTCTAATAATGAACCTATGACCCATTAAATAATGTCTGAATTTGGCTATAGCTTCAGATATGGCAAGCATCTCTCGAAAATAAGCGGATTTCTTTTGGTTGTGAGGAACTAATTTCTTGGAAAAATACGCAATGGGGTGACCATCTTGGTGCAGAACTGCACCCACTCCTACCCCGGAGGCATCTGTTTCCAAAATGAAAGGTTTGTTGAAATTCGGCAAAGCCAAAACTGGAGCAGATATCATTGCAAGTTTTAATTGGTGAAATGCCATCTCAGCTTGATCATTCCACACAAAACTCTCCTTCTTAAGTAATTTCGTTAATGGTGCAGCCACTCTTGCATATGATTTTATAAATCTCCTATAGTAACCAGTGAGACCTAAAAAACCACTCAATTGCTTCACGTTCTTAGGTACTGGCCAATCCTATACAGCTTGGACTTTATCTTTGTCCATAGTAACTCCTTGACCTGTAACTCTGTGTCCCAAGTACTCAATTTCTGAAACTCCAAATGAACACTTAGATAACTTAACAAAGAGAATATTGTCTTGAAGAATTTTGAGAACTGCATCTAAATGGTTCAAGTGTGCTTGCCAAGTAGGGCTGTATATGAGAATATCATCGAAGAAAACCAAAACATATTTTCGCAAGGCATGTTGAAAAATCTGATTCATTAAGCTTTGAAACATGGCTGGAGCGTTTGTCAGTCCGAATGGCATGACCAGCAACTCATAATGCCCTTGGTGTGTTCTAAAAGCTGTTTTATATCTGTCTTCTGGTTGTACAAGTATCTGATGATAGCCCGATCGGAGATCCAATTTTGAAAAATATTTAGCCCCAAATTAGAACAAAAACTTATGAGACCATATTTTAAACTGTATCCTCCAAATGCAGCACCAACTATTAATTTATAAGGGTCTTTGGATTACACAGGTTCTAAAGAAGATGAAGATGACAATATGATTGAACAGAAAATAAACTCATTTATTTTCATAATAATCAACTTTCGTGAAAATTGAAATCATTTTACAACATAATTGATGTTTATTATATCATTTCTTTGTCAATCCACACACACTGACACACAATGTTATTGCCATAAAATAGCACAAGACCACATAGCCTTTTTCTTTTATCTTGCTTGAACAAAGAGTCTATAATAATAATCAAGGTAAGTCATGCATTTCCTCCTTCCCTTTCCCTTTCACATCTTCATATTTTTTCCTGTTAAATGGGAAAGGTCTAAACCCTTTCTGCAGCAGTTTCTCAACCTCCTAAAACTGAAGTCCTTTTGTTTCTGGCACTAACAAATAAATCGCGACAAAGCCAATCAAGGAGAACCCTGCAAAGAGGAGGAATGTTCCAGAAGTTCCTAGAGACTTTATCATGCTTAAGAAGGATTGACTCACAATCAGATTAGCACACTAGTTGAATACTGCTGCTATGCCTCCTCCTAGTCCTCTGAACCTCAATGGATAAATCTCCGAGTTTAGAACCCAAGGCACTGTTCCAATTCCAGGAGAATATGCTATGATGTAGACTCCGAGGATTACAACGGCAAGGAATCCGATTTTGCTTGGACAACCCTGTGAAAACCATACTCGCTTTTGTTCCCGACACATGCCTCTCACAATCTTTTCTCCTCCTTCCAAACATGCTCCTGGAAGAAACTGTATCACACATAATAATCACATTATTAACACTTTCTTAGTACGAGTTCAACGCTCTGTCTCTTGAGGTCTGCTTTGACTCTGGCTCTAGTGAGTCTCAGAGTCCAACTTGCTTAAACTTTTTATTATATTAAAGAAAACTTATGTAAATGAATGTAGTATAAACTTACCGCACTCTTGCTATTGGCGCAAAAGCCACATTCTTCATGCAAACATTGCATACAGTTCCACGACAAGAGATTCGGGGCCGACGTGTAAGCCTTTCATGTAGAGTTCCCGCCAAAGTTAAGGGAATCCAGTTTATTGACTGCAAGTGCATGATGAGATGCTTGGTTTAATGTAACACTTAATACAACAAGTGAAACAAAGATGCCAACCAAGGAGACTAGCATCAACTTTCTTCTTCCGAATCTATCGATTGAAACCATGCTCACTATAGTTCCAATGGTATTGAGACCAGAAGTAACCAATGAGAGTGAAAGTGCGGTGGAGTTGGAGGCGATTCCGACAAACTGAACTATGGTTGGGCTGTAATACATGATTGTATTAATACCGACGAATTGCTGAACAACTTGGACTGTGATACCTGCGTAGAGCCCTCTTCGAACTACGTTGTTAGGCCAAGCACTCTTTAGTTTTTGCCCAAGACTATGACCAATTAAGCTTTCGTCTGCTTTCTCAGCTTCAATGGAATCATGTATGGCTTTCATCTCCTCTTCAACTTCATTTGGGCGGTAGATTTTCGAGAGAATAACCCTTGCTTCCTCTTCCTTGCTCTGGAAGAAAATAAAATGATTTATTTTGTTATTGTATCGATCTTTCACAATCTAAAGGTTCTAGTAACTTGTTAAGAACTCATTTGCAATACACCCAAATTACACTAAATACACGGTATCCACGGGAACATTATTATTGTCCGTGATCCGAGATTGACAACAATGGCCATGATGATGACTAGGATTACCTGCCTATAGAGCCATCTAGGTGACTCAGGGAGGGACAACATTAATACAAACTGTAGCACAGCAGGAAGTGCCTCCACTCCAAGCATCCAACGCTAGGTTCCTGGAGCCTAAAACAATTCAAATTGATGAGGTATAAAAACAAAACAAAAATCTCATTCAAGTGTTATTCTATTATGAATGAACTTCACTCGAACATAGAACATACCTTGGTAAACACCAAATTGATGAGGTAGGAGAGAAATTGACTACCTGTTATAAGTAAAATATTGACGGATACTAATGCTCCTCGAATCCTAGCCGGAGAAGCTTCAGAGATATATAGAGGAGCAGTCATGAATGCAACACCAACTCCTAAACCGACTAAAACTCTTCCAATAATGATAACCCAAGGAACAGGAGCAATAGCCATAACTATTGCACCTAACATGAACACCACATCAGCCACTAAGATAGTTTTCTTCCTCCCCATCTTGTCATTCATGTATCCTCCAAATGCAGCACCAACTATGGCTCCTGCAACAGCCGTACTGACAATTGTTTCCTGCATAACAAAACAATCATGTCAACCATCTCGAAATCAATTAGTCTATTCCAAAAGTGATATTTTTTGAAAATAAACAGAGACATTAATGGATTCACTCGCAGGACCGTCTTTTAGGATGCACAAGATAGACTATATCACATGGTCTCATATTTTTCTCAATTAAATTGTGGCTAAATAGAATCTCATAAGTACATTTTAAACTTCTGGTTACACATCTCGTTAACGGATCTGGATCAGGTGTATCGTAATAGCCAAAAAATTGCTCAGCACGAAAGATCCATTCATGCACGTTAGTGCCATCGAAACGAGGAAATTCCAGTTTGATATTTCGCACCTGAAACGGAGGCCTGTTGTTGAGTTCTGAACCATGGCGATGCTTCGACGACGTCTGTTGAATGAGTATGTCAAGTGCTGCATGGATATCGTTAAACTTCGATGCGTTACCAGCTTCTAATCGTTCATACGCTCGAGAACTTCTGTCTGAAACAACCGCATCTCCTCTGTAGTGCGCTTGATCTCAGCTTGCAGTTCTGTGGTTTGTGAGTCGGCCATGGTGTGATGAAAGCACCAGTGTAACTGTACTAAGAATGAACAGACAAAAAAATGGAAACGAAATGAGGGAAAATTATATAAGGACTTTAATCAAACAGTTGCAATACAATGGAAACCCAGATGTGAAAAGAAAAAAGTTTGAGGGAGAAGAATAACAACTCTACTCATCACATAATCCTACAATTTCTCACTACTGCAGTATATGTACTGAATCATTCCTTCACATAGTCCCTCGACATAGTGTGCGGTTTGCGTGGCCTTGCTCCTGTGCGTATGTCCGATATTTCCGCGTTATTGTTAGCCAAATCCTTTCCACGCATATTTTGTGGGCCCTCCTTCTGTTTTGCTGACTCACAGGCTGCTTCTAGAATATCTTTCTCTTTTGACCTCATTACATTCTAATGGGAATCAATGTTGGTCAAATTCTTCCATAAACCTGGACAGTAAGCTGAGCAATAAAGTAATATGTTAATGCAATCTAAACTTCAAACTGTCATGAACTGAAGCAATCACCCTCCCTCACCAGAGCATACTGTCGCTACTGCGAAAATCGGCGCCGGCTGAACAGAAGAGTCGCCACCGTGCGTTATTTATCCCACGGGAGGGAAAGGGAACGCTCAGAGTAAACCTCGCAAAGACGGGAAAGGTATGGTCGTCGCAACCAAAACCTGGGTTCGGGAGTCGGTTACGCAAGGGGAAGGTATTAGCACCCCTCACGTCCGTCGTACTCGACGGGATCCACGCTTGTTTTCGGGTATGGATTGTTATTCTATCTACGCTAAAGGTCTGGGGTTAAAAGGAAAGAAAATGAAAACAAAATGACTCGGCAAAGTATCGCACTTCATGCCTACGTATTCCCGTCTGGAACGAGAAATCAGAGTCAACGTAGTTCGCCTACCTACGGGAAAGGAGGGGAAGGTTGCTCGCTAGGATATCGCATCCTATGCCTACGTACTTTCATACGGCATGAAAGATCAGAGCAAACGTAGTTCGGGCCACGTACGACACAAGTCTGTCTTAATTGTTTTTATTCCTTCTGAAAAAGGTTTTTTTTGATTAGCAGTCCCGGCGGACAAAAATGACGTCTTGATGAGTTCACATTCTTTTACGGAAGAAGTGTCTTTTATTGTGTTTGAAATTTTATTGTATTTTCTGTTTGTTTTTGAGGAAGAAGAGATAGAACTCTAACCTATGGTTGCGAAGGGAATCAAACTAACCTAATGTTATCATGCATGGGTTAAGACCTAGTGTCTATCATGCTCCTCTCTTGCACAGAGAGAAACAGAGATCCTACGGGATAGGCAGAAACAGAAACAATACCAGATATATACAGTAAAGCAGTAAAATGCATGGATGCAGCAATACAAGCGAGGCAAGGGAGTCCCACTCAACCTCGAACCTAGAAAACAATAGGCAAAAGTGAACAGGCTTCACTTTCAACCCAACAGGGTAAACAGCAAACAATACAGCTCAGAAAACCAATCAATACATCAGCAAATGAAATACAACAATAAAACAAACATCTTCAGTAGCTCTGAATCAACATCTGGCTTCAAGTAATCTCCAATCAGCTATAGGCTTCAACAAGCATCAATCTCCATCTTCATGGCCTTCAGGCAAGGGCTTTGATCATCAGTCTTCTATCTGCCATGGCTTTTCTTCAAGTTCAAACCTCCAGGATGAGGAATCAGTCACAAGAGTGAAGTGAATGAATGTTAGACAGTTAATTACCTACCAAGGGTGGTTCATCAACTGTTAACATTAAACAGAAAGTTTCCTCTCAAAAGTTCTATCTTTCAAATATATTCACTGATCCTTCCAAAGGAAGGAGGTGGATATTTGAAAGAGACTTTGAATCATAGAGGAAGGATGGATGCAGACAAGGCAATCCATGTTTGAGAAACAAACTTTCTACCCTAGAGCTCTGCCTAGCTCCTAAACCCTAGTCTCCTCAGCATCTGCTAGCAAGAATCTCCTCCTCAACTCTGACAGTTGATCTTCAATCTTTGAATCTCCAATGGCCTCATTTCCTCAAGTCCTCAGCTTCCCCAGGGTCCCAGACAAACCCAATACCCAAACAAGCAAGCAGTAATCCCCAGAGGGCACACCACACCAGACAAACAGATATACAGACAATATTAATAGCAGTAGGGGAATCCTGACTTTTTCTAAGGGATCTAATAGCTACCCATAGCCCCTATAGTCCCATAACTAATCTAATTAAATCCTAAGTCCTAAGGGAAAGAATTGAACTTCCTAAGTCATCACCTAAAAAAAACCCTAATTTGTTCATGATGTTCAAACCTATTTTAATCACCTAAAATTAACTTCTAAAAATGGGAACTAAAATATTTCTACAAGTTGAATATCTCATCTAAACAATATAAAAAGAATGACCAAAAAATATTAAAGCATGTAATAGAACAAAAATCATTAAAATGATGCATGAAATGAATCTATTTAATATGACATTTATTTAAAAAATATGGAAAAAATATGAAATGAAAATAAAAATGCAATTTTATTTTTCTATAATATTCTACACATCCTAAAGAAAATATTGTAAAAAGAATGGAGTGAAAAGGATTTTTTATGAATTTATTATGAATTTTTGAAGTTGGTAAAAAATTAAAATGAATTAAAAACAATTAAACCAAATAAAATGAGGGAGGGGGGTTAGAATAGAAATTCGCTCCAGTTATAATCAGAATGGGCCACACAGCCAGGGGTGCGAGTAGCGTTTTGGTTAAGCCCAGAATTCTCAGCAACAAAGAAAAATAAAAGAAGCGCCAGGGGGGGTGAGAAAAGCAACAGATATCACGTTCAATATTGGTTTGGGCTCATAACTGGGGGTGGGATTAGCAGCATCCACTCAGGCCCGCCCGTTTCAATTAATGAAACGGCGCGTTTTGGCCAAACTCCATTTCCCTCCAAATTCAGATTAAATAATAGCCATAGGATCTCCTTCTAAGTCAAAAGTCCAACGCGCATTGAACGGACACGATTGTGTCTTCTTCCTTTGATCATTCAAGAGTTAGGGTTTCCCTCCATAGCCACCATGCACGAGCAACCTTCACCTCATCTGTTCTCCCTCTCCAATCCATGAAATGCCACGCCATAAAAATGAAAAATGCTCAGAATTCTTCCCTCTACAATCCTATGGTCTCATCTTGCTTTGAAACTCAACACATCAACAAACCCGCGCGCCACAAACTCTGGTTATCATGAGATTACTCTGAGATGCACCATGATAATTCTCCCTCAAACCTATCCTAATCTGCTCTATGCATCATGGTGATTAACCTGCGCTATCAAGCTAGGATTCTAATGCACTAACCTAAGAGTTTCACCTCCTAACAGTTTATGGCACCTGCTAATCAACATCACCAAACCTCTCCAAATTCACCCTAACTGTTCTACTAACCTCCTACATTGCATCTAAACTAATAAAATCATGCCTAACTAACTAGATCAAGCAAATCGAATGAAAACATACCTGGTGCAAAAGCTTGAAAACAGCTATGGAAGATTGAGGATCTGAGGCTTTTGAGACTTGGATCTTGATCTACACACTCAATACTCAATTCTGTATGCAATATTTTGGAGCTTCCTGGCTTGAATTATGCTGTCCAATGGAAACTTCAACTTTGATGTTCTTGAAAAAAGTACTCGAAAATGGATCCTAACCACCTTGTTCTTGATTGAATTATACTCTATGATGATGAATCAGTATGAGAAAGTTGATTATGATGAAGATTTGGTGAAGAATTTGTGAGATTGGAATGAAACTTCAATGAAAAAGAATGTGAAAGCTTGTGAAATTCTTGGTGAAAATGAAGCCAACCCTTGCTAAATTCTCATTTCATGAATATATAGACCTCATGTGAACATTCTAGATCCATCTTGCACATTCCCTTGCTTTCCAACTTTGATCCATTTTGGTTATGTTTCTTCAATTACAAGTAACCAAAGATAACTTTCTTTTTTCCTTCTAAACTCAAAAAAGTGTTTGAACCATTGTTCTTAGAATTGTTTTTCCATTCAAAATCATATATTGGAAGTCTCCATTTGGATTCATAAATCTCCCAAACCATTTTCCATCTTGAATTTATTCACTTTATAAGCCATTTTAGTTCAACTTTTGACCAATTATGCAACTTCATGCTATGAGCTTCTCCAATAATTTGTGACCTTCTTTCTAGACTTAAAATCCCATTTGGAGCAAGTTTGATGTTGTAAGTTTTTCCATTTGAGGCCTCCTTGTATGAGTTTTGGACATAGGTTAAAATGACCTGTAATTCACAAATGCCCAATATACCCTTTGCTTGCCAAGACCATAAGTTGAGTTCTCCACATCATATGAAGGCATACTATACCATTCTAGAAAGCTAAGACAATGAGGAACAATTCTTATGTTGACCAAGAATTCATTTGAAATCTCCTTGAGGGGT